GGGCTCCGTCAGGACAGCCAGGGCACGGGGCACGGGGCAGCTGCGGCGCTGGTGGGAGTGCAGACCAGGACGCATGGGCTTGAGGGCATCGTCCTTGCCCTGCAGCTTACTGGCCGCGCGTGTGGATGTGTGTGTTTGTGTGTGTGCCGGGGGGGAAGGAGGAAACGCGGGGGGGGGGGGGAAAGGGGAAAACAGGGGGGAAGGTGCGGAGGAGGGCATGCGGGTGGAATTTACGTGCAAAGGACAAACGGAATGGGAACGGAATGGGAGCGGAAAGGCAATTGAAACTGTTGATGTGGAAAGCGCCATATGCCGGAGTCTAAGCCAGCTGCGACGCGACTGTCCCTCGTTGCGTGGGGGTTGGGTGGGTGGTTGGGTGGGTGGGTGGGTGGGTGGTGATACATAAGAGGCAAAAACGGCAGGTGGTTGGGTCATATGATGCTCCAGAGGGCTACAAGCCCTGCCCACCTTGCTTCTATTGCCTCTCCTCGCCGACGCTTCATCGGCACCATGGAATTCATGAAGACACACACATACACGCATTAAACACACGCACAGACACACACACGCACACACACATACTCAAACACAGTGTCTTTGAACAGGTTGCTCGTGCAAGCCCTGCAGTACGTACCGTACTCCGTGTACCAGCAACCGAAGTGGGAACTCTAGGAAGAGGCGGTACAGAGAGGGCAGTAGCAGCAGCAGCACCAGCCAACCGAAGAGCAGTGCAGAGAAGATCATCAACTGTGGGTTCGGAAGGGGGTTGGGGGGGGGCCCGGGAGGGGGGTTAGTTGGGAGGAGGTTCGCAACGGTGGGTTGCTGGAAAAAATGAGCTGGAAAAGGGAAGGCATAAAATCCCAAATTCAAATTTCGAATTCAAAACACACTAACCAAAAAAGATCCAGACCTGTCAAACAACCAACAACCCAAAAACCTTAGCAATTCAATAACGTCGGTGTTTAGCAGGGAGAGAGAGATATAGCGGTAGGCAGGTAGCAGACAACACACAGCTCTATGGCAACTGCGTTGTAAAACCACATTTTCCTTCCCTTCCTTTTCTCTTCTTCATCTTTCCTCGCGTTTCTCTTTTCCTTTCCTGGCTGGGTCTCATCGCGCCATTCGCGTACTCCTTTCCAGCTTCCCTCTCCCCTAGTACCTAGCTTCTCCTTAACATTGACTGTCACCGCGCGCACCCCCGCTGGCTCTTCCCCATCCAGGTATCAGCGACCGCCTCCCTCTCCCCAGCAGCTTCAATCGTGTGTGGTTCGTCTTTCCCCCACCTCCCTCGCTCGATCATACACCTCCCTCATCCTATATACCTTCCTCACCCCGCCTTCCTGGACGGAATAGGATCGTCTCCTTTCCCCCTTTTTTCCTACCTGCATCGACACATCAAACAGACGATCTACGCCCTGCCGGACACACTTGTCGTACGGAGTGTACGTCACCACAACGTTAACGTAGCCCAGGGTTCCATTCATCCTGTAATCAGCAGCCTGCTCCTCAAGCGCCCCCTCCACCATTTCCACGATCCTCTGCTGCCTTGAGCTGCTGCTACTGCTACTGCTGGTATTGCTACTGCTACTGCTGCTACTGCCGGGAACGCCTTTGGCCTCCGGTGGTGGCGGCGCCGATGGTGGCGGTTCGGCAGCGGCTGTAGCAGCAACGCCAGGTGCGTTGCTGGCGTTGACGCAGGGGTTGTAGAGGTACACCACCAACTGGGTCGCAAAGCACGAGTCTTGAGAGCTGACGCCCTGCACGTTGACGCGCAGCTTCGTCGCGGTGCTACTGCCGCTGCTGCTGCTGCCAATACTACTGCTACTGCTGCTGCTACTGCCTCTGAGGGCCGCCAGACATTCCCCCTCGGGCGCCCAGTAAGTGGATGTCAGGTCGGTCAGGAGCTCAGAGGCGGACGACAGCGGGTCGGTCGGGGTGCCTGATTAGGAAATGGGTGGGGGAGAAGGAAGAGCATCATCATATCTTATATATGCATAAAATATTCCAATGCGACATCCGCTGCACGAAGGCCCCACAAAGCAACGATAGACACACACACACACACATATACACACGCGCACGCAGCGCTTCACCCCCCCCAGGTGCCACCACGTCTCGAAGGGTCGCGGGGAAACAACATTAAAAAAGAGGTAAGTGGCGTACGGTTGCATGCATGTATTGTGTAGGATCGCTGCGATGTCCAACCATTCCAGCTCCTCCCTCCATTTCTTCATGCACGATGTTACTGCCGTACACACACCGTGATCTTCGTCGTACACATTGTCGTCCAGGTCGACCAGCGCGCCCTGCCCGTAGCCGCTGCCCGTCGCCACCGACACGCCGTACCGAGGGCTCACCAGCACGGGCAGCGACAGGGGCCCGTAGGGTCCCGGCTCCAAAGAGCCGTGAAGACCCCCCAGGAGCGACTTGGCCGCCGTCGCGCCGCCACGGAGGTCGTCGTACGCGCTCTTGAAGGTCGCTCTGCGACGTCACGGCCACAGTAAAATCGAAAACAGCATCCATGGCACCATAATCACTGCTTATTAACGTGCAGATTAATGGGCAGCGACGGGCACGGAGAAGTGCAACACCAGCAAGAATGGTAGGCAGCAGCAGCAGCAGCAGCAGCAGCAGCAGCACAGAAGGGACCGCACGGGGTGGGGGGTGGGGGAAGTACGTATGTGTGTGCATGGACGGGGGGGAGGTGGTCATTATCGGCGGCCGGAAGTACGGATAGACCCCTGACAAGGCCCAAATTGTAATCACTCCAGGGAAGTCCAGTCCTGGGGCTGGCCTAGGACAACAGGCATGTCTCCCCGCATCCATTCATCTATACATACAGACATACATAACCCCCCACACACCAGTCCATTTCCTCTCGCCCTCCCCGCCACCATACACCGACCCTCCCCCAGTACCCGACCAGAGCACCTGCTTGTCTGGGCGTGAAGGTTGCTGATACCGGCAATATTAAAATCCAGAAGGCTCCGCCGCAGCCTCCCGAGCACACCCTGGCCAGAACCCTGGTTCGAATCCTGGCTGGAGCTTTCCGCCACCGCCGGCCCTGGAGTTGGTGTCTTCGTCGGCGTCGGCGATGACGATGATAATGATGTTGCACTGTTGACCAAATTCGATCGGCGGGCTACTGCCGCGACCCAGATCGCTTTTCCGGATGCGAGCGTTACGCCGCTGATGGCCTTTGGCTGGTTGTAGCCGTCTAGGTAGGCTAGTACGGCCTGCGGCCCCCGGGCAGCACCGCCGCTACTGCCGCTGGTGGTATCGGTGGCGGCGGCGGTGCAGGTGCTGGCAAGGGTGTTGAAGAAGGTGACCTGGACCTTCAGGGAGGCCCAGTCGGGGTTGCCTAAATAGACTACCTGCAGGGGAGCGCGCGTGTATATATGTGTGTGTCTGTTTGTATGTATGTCGTTGCGCTCCTTATAGAATAGTGAGGAGCTGCAAGGTGTCGTTACTCGTGCGGGATGAAGTAGCTCTCATGGTAAAAGTGGGCAAGGTTTCGGAGCATGTGGGTAGGGGAGTTCTTACCCTTTAGGGGACGTCTTTGGTTCCCCTTTAGTGCTATTCTTCCCCAGCCTTGAGTACCAGGGGGTGTTAGGTAAGGGGGGTAGGAGGACGGACCGCTGACAATTGAAGCAGAGATACCACAGATAGACACTCTCCCTTACTTAGGTGAGGGGGACGATTTGGCTTGAGACTGTGTCCGTCGAAAAGGGAAGGGAAACAGTTGAGGTATGGAATAGAACCAGGGGAGCAAGGAGGTTCAGGTAAAAGGTGGGGGGCGTGGTGGTAAAGCCGTTCGTAGGGGGAAAACAAAAAGGAAGGGCCGTGATTGTTGGGTCAACTTGGCTGGATTTGCTCACCTGGCATGGGTGAGAGATAAAGCGGCTATAAGGGATTTGGATACCCTGCCCATAGACGCCCAGGCGCTGCTGTAGGAGGGCCCGAGTAAAGTTTGCGAGCGCTTTTGTGCCATTGGTCCCAGCACCGGTGTCAGATTGCCCATAGTCCAGCTGGTATTCCGCGCCGTAGTCCGCAGAGTTAAACGAGGAGTAGCTCGTTGCTGGTGGCCCGGCAGATATCGGATCCAACGGTTGCGCAGCTACTATCGCATAAATTGGCAGCAGATAGAGAACGACCTGAAGCCAAATCGCCACGAGACCGCACTTCTCTGCTGTCATCCAAAAGTCTGACGCTATCCTTTTACTCATACAGGCTTAGCCGCCAAGGCCGGGCCGGAACTCTTTTTTCAAACCGATATGCAGGACTACCAACAACGAATGTCTGGAAATGGTCGCGCGTAAAAATACTCTACATCTCTGGTATGTAGCAAATATTTGATTAAAGAAATACCTTCAAGCGTGCTCACTAAAATTTTGCATTCGAACTGCAAGGTGAGAGTGCGATCCAACGCTCTCACATGCTTAGAATAAAAGGGAGCTCATGAGTTCAACTAATAGTAGTATGCCCTGCTTCAGGCAACGCGTCCTCACTCAGCGTCCGATTGTACGGATAGTTACACATCGCAAAACCTCGAAACCTCCCTTCCTTGTAATGGCTACCTCCGATGTAGCTCTTTACCATGTGGCAAAGGCTCTCGTCTCACTCCCCAATTTGTCTTCCCAAATTTTGCGCGATCTCCGTCTTCTTCCGGCTACAGCCTTGCCGGCCACCTCGCCTTCAACAGATTTGTATGCTGCACAGTAAACATCTATCAAAATTTACTTTGGTGGTCACGCTGGCTCCTTATCACCATTGTAAGGCCCACCGACGCGTGATGTTCCGGTACTGGTATGATGTTTCCTCGCTGTCGCCGTTCTGCTGCTGCATTGGAGTAGTATTGACTTCTGTTGGCTGTTCACCTATGTTCTGGGTAAAATCTGCACTGCACATGCGGACAAAAAGAACACTGGAATCCCTTGTTTCCGTACCCCTGGAACCCAAAAAAATCCCACTGCTGTGAGCCTCGAAGCCCGACATCGCAAAATGTATCATGTGTTAAAAATTAGGGTTGGTGGCCCATGGGCTACGTAGACCATTAATGGAGGCAGCCAAACTTGTCTGTGCTCATATAATTTTTGTTGGCTGCAGGTGAGATACCTTGCAATAGAGAATGTCACCAATAACGCGTTTCTACCGGGCGAGATATTTATGTTCGGTCCGTCACACATTCACACGGACATGGGTGGGGCCCTCCTGGGCGCTTCACGCTGGGGCCCCGCCCAAAAAAGGTTGGGAGCGCACATCCTATCCCTGCCATGAAGTATTACACAGCAAACATCATGGCGACATGATGCAGGAGGTACAGCCATTCCATCACGTGTTCCAATCCAACACATGAACCTTTCTTTTCCAGGTGCTCCAATGCCACAGCACCACAGCAGCTGCGCGTGGTGGTCATGGTCGTGTTGGTCGCGGTGGTGGTGCTGCTCATGACAATGGTGATGACCACCATGGCCAGCAGCACAGCAGGGAATAGAATAAACAAGCAAAGGTAGACATCATCATGCTCGTTGTTGAGGCCAATCATGACCCTCCTCCTTCTCCTCCTCACCACCACCACCATGTGTAGTGGTAATGGCACTGCTGCCAGTGCGCACACAAAAATTCCGCACACAACACACCCTACTGCTGCCGACGGCGTGGTTGTCAAGCTACTACGCCTCACCTATGCCATCCTTGCAGCTATTTGCGGCTGTCTGCGTCCCAAGTTCCGAATTGTAGCTGCACAAGATGTTCCGGGGTGGAACCACAGGGCTCAGGTTATTGCTCACAGACTGCAGCTGGACCCTGCGTGGATGCAGGATGCCAACCTGGTCATCCAAAATGCGTTGCTGCTTCAGCTTCCCACCTGCTACCGCTATAGTAATGAGCAGCAGCAACGCATTTTTAATGACTAGGTTGACTGCAGCTGCAGTCTGCTAGCAATAACCTGGGCCCTGTGGTTCCACCCCGGCACGTCTTGCACAGCTACAATTCGAAATTTGGGGCGCAGACAGCCGCAAATAGCTGCAAGGATGGCATAGGTGAGGCGCAGTAGCTTGACAACCACGCCGTCGGCAGCAGCAGGGTGTGTGGCACCCAGCTGAGGATTCCTAGCATGTGGACCCCACATTTGTACAGCCACTGCTTGACATCTTCTTCTGTCCACCTGTGCAACATAATGAGAGACAGATACACAGAGAGGTGTTATAAAAAAACCATATAGGGTAACCCTTACCGAGGGGCAACAAAAGGGTTGGGGTAATACACTACTGATGGGTAACAGACAGGGTAACCCATGCTTACAAATGGGCCTCGACTGAAACCTTCACCCACGCCTGTCTACACACGCAAACATACATGTCCACCAATCACTTGTGGATGCTCAATTATCAACATTTACGCACTAAAACGTGGCTTGTTTGAAACATAAACCGAAGGATAAGTCGCACAGCTGCAGCCTACATGTTAAGGAGGCGGACGAGCAGGCGTACATAGACAGAGCGCATTAGTGATCACAAGAAGCCGCAAGCGAAGCCAATAAATATACATATCAAGAGATCCAGGCACTTACCGCCGCTCCGGACCCAAGACCTAAAACTTGCGGACCAGCCAACGGGCGGCAATGAAAGGTCGGCCAGTAGCTGAAGTGCCCCGTCCGAACTGCACATTCCAGCTATGAGCAACCTATGCAATACTATCCACAGTCTGCTCGTTTTCAGAGCAGGCTTTCCTAAGAGCGTCGAGGGTCTTGGGCGGGAGATGCAGATGTTTGACCCCGAACACGGTCACACCCGGCGAAGTGTAAGGCGCCCCTCCAGGAAAATCTTGGGTGTCGCTGGATGTCTTGCACCATAAATTGTCGGCCTGTGCTGCAGCAAGACAGTCAACGGTCTTGTTGTCGTGGTCAGCGCACGCTAGCACGCCACCATTTTCGCCGCCATACGCACCAGTACTGCAACGGGGGTTGTAAATGTGCATTGTATATACGTTCCATAGGAACAATGCTGGCAGTGAATATGATGGATTGAATTGGTGATATGGGTCATCGCTTATCTTGAGCTTATATGCTAATTAGATGTGATTAAACTTGAATGCGCATGTTAGGAGTATTAATGGAGGCAAAGCAGCGTGCACATATACGACCACCCCCTGCAGAGGTCGGCAAATCCGGTGGGTCCTGCGGGTCCGTACCACAGTACCCGCAGCCAAAAATCGGCTTAAGGCCCCCTGTAGCGCCGCTTGGCTCACCGGCCCTTGGCTCACCGGTCCAACGGTCATCGTACCAACGGTACACCTAAGAACTTCCAGAAATTACAAAACTAAACGGCACTTATTATTAATACCTCCACTATTGTTGGATAAGTTTCTTCGTTACTGCTCTGCCAACTGCCAAGCTTTGTTACACCGCCGGCCGGTAATATGTCGGCTGACCTCAGGACTGATTGCCTGATGTTTTCATAATGAGAACTATTATATAACAAAGGATGACAACCAAAGGCATCCATTTAGTGAAGACTTGTCGTCGACTTGCGTGTGTGCTGCCAGCATTGGCGCCTCCGCCTGTACTCATCTACAAGCTCTCGTTTTACAGCAGCCAAATAGGCCAAGAGATAGGTACTTATTGCTTTTTCCTTGCGTGTGTGCTGCCAGCATTATATATGTGTGTGTGTGTGTGTGTGTTACATGGTTGGGGGTGCGTGACCCCATACCTGTAAGACTACCCATACGAGCCGAAGGCCCAAGGGCAGCCAGCATTAGAGGCCTTAAGGTTGAAATGGCGAACGATGCTTCCCGAGATACCACGATACTGTAGGTTGCCAACATTTACATTTACAAGTATATCCTTGCGCTGAAGTTACGATGTGGGAAGCAAATAAGACGAGTAGCCTAAAGGCCCATGTCCATATCCACCGTTCGGTTCTTATCTTGTTGTTGTTACATGGTCGTGGGTGCGTTCCCCGTACCTGCAAACCACCCTAATACGAACCGAGGGCTCAAGGGCTGCCAGATCGCCTATAAGCACCATCCTACCTCGCACTTCCAACGAAACAAGTGATGAAGGATACTAACGACCAAAGGGAACGATAGATTTGCGGTGGGACCATATGCGTTCCAGCATCCTTGCCAGGCGTTCAGGTTCCCACTTCATAGCGTCCTTCATATGCTCGAAGCGTGGGAAGCCCATATCAGATCTGATTTTGTTGTACACCGGACAGTCCAGCAAAATGTGCTTCTCATCCTCGATATGGCTATCAGTGCCGCAGCAAGGGCATACTCGCTCCTCCCTAGGTATATAACACCGTCCCTTACGCGCTCTGTTAGCCGCCAATGCCCAACAGCAAAGCCTAAACTGCATAAGCTTGCGGTTCGCTGAACGCGGGATAAACATTGTGATATGCGGGAGCACCTCCTTCCTGCCCGCTTGCTCGGCCGCCAGACCCATCCAATGCTTATACTTCGCCATGTGAATTCCTGGTTGCTTGCCGTCTGACGGGTACACGTCAGGCTGGACATCTAAACGCGTATGCTTCCAACCACTCGCTAATCGGTCCTTGAACTCCAAAACCACACCTTCTGGCATTGGCCTGTTCATCAGCCACTCCACTCGTTCGTCAACCTCGTGTAGCCCTTGCGGGGCCTCTTTCCTTACGTCGTGACCAAAAAAACATAGAAAACGGAGGAGTAGTGTCCCCCATCCGGCCGCTTCGGGGTTGGAGAGGGACTCTGCGACCTCCTGTCGCAAAACTTGGTGTGCCACAGACCCACGCTGTAAACGGACATGGTTCCAAAACCTCACAACCTGCTTGAGAACGTGGTAGTGTAGGGGTAGCTGCGACAGGAGGAGGCGTGTTGGCCTGGCAGCTCCTACAATTTGTCGCATGAAAGATATCTGAAGCTGCACTGCTCTGTCCTTTAGGCATGCCTCGAAGGGCCCCTCTGCAAGGTTGCTCGCATCACTCCGCCTCCTGAGCCTGTCCAAGACCTCAGCTAGCATAAACGGCCCCCACGCTTGACAACCATACAACAGTATTGCTCGTACCTGCGTATCGAAACACGTCATCCTCACATCTGGGGCGAACAACTTTAGCTTATCTAATTTTGCACTCAACGCGAACATAGCTGCTCTAGCTGTGTCATACAACTGCTGACGGCAGGCCCAGAACTGCCGTTCCGGCCCATACACTAACCCCAGATATCGCGCACTATCCTTAGCCGGTATGGCCTCTCCAGCCAGCCTGAGCTCATCACACGATGCTTGGACAGCGCTCCTAGTGTGTGTGTGTGTGTTACATGGTTGAGGGGGTGCGTGTCCCCATACCTGTAAGACTACCCATACGAGCCGAAGGCCCAAGGGCAATACTACAACGCCTAAAAGCCACGGAGGAAAGGAAAACACCGCACATCAGGCCAGACTAGCGTCCAAAAGGGGCAATTGAGTTTCGGTGAGCCCACATACGTTCCAACATCCTCGCCAGACGTGCGGGTTCCCATTGCATGGCCTCCAACATGCTCTGTTGATGATCGAATCCCTCTTCAGCACGAATATCATTATAGGCCGGGCATTCCATTAACACGTGTTTTTCATCCTCAATTCGGCTATTGGTACCAAAACCGCTGCCCCCTGGGGACATGGTACTTGCCCCTTCGTGCTCTGTTTGCCTCCAAAGCCCAGCAACATAAACGAAACTGCATTAGCTTACGATGTGCTAAACAAGGAATGAAAACCTTAGCATGTGTTGGCCACATGACGGCTGCGGCTCCCGAAAAGGGCAGCCCCATCCAGTGCTTATACTTCGCCATTTGCACTCCCGGTTGCTTCCCATCTGATGGCAAGACAGTCAGACGCGTATGGTCCCAGCCGCTCATCAAACGCCCTCTTATTGCCGTTATCATCGCTCCTTCGGGTAGAGGTCTACTCAACAACCAGTCAACACGCTCCTTTACCCCCACGACTTCTTGCGGTATTCCGCTCCAAATGTTGCACTCCAAGAAGGAAAACAGTCGTAACATTGAGATTCCCCATCCCACCCACTCCGGGTTGGTCAGGGCATCGGTTATCTCCTGCCGTAAAACGGCATGAGCAATGGATCCCACTTGCTTTTGAAGGCGGTTCCAGAAACGGAGGATCTGCTTCACCATGTAATATTGTAAGGGGAGTTCAGCCAGCTCCGCGTACAACAGCCTGTGGGATGGCCGTGCCGTCCCCACTACCTGCCTCATGAATAAAATCTGCAGCTGGACTGCGCTATCCTATAAACAGGCTTCGAACATGCCCTCCGCAAGGTTGGCTTTATCCCGCCGCCTTCCCACCCTGTCCAGACCTCTGCCAGCGCAAAAGGGCCCCACTCCTGGCAGCCATACAACAGAATTGCTCGGACTTGGGTTGCAAAACACCGCATTCGCACATCGGGGGCAAACAGCTTCATTTTGTCCAACTTTGCGCTCCTAGTGTCGCTGTCGCTTGCAAAAACGAGGCGTTCACATTTCGACACATTTGGACACATCCCAAAATCATCACAGAACATGTCCACAATGTTGAGCAGCTCCCCCATGCGTCCCGGTGTATCCATGGTCCCATGGTCCCAGATCCCATGGTCCCAGATCCCAATATGTACGACAGGTTCAGTCACATTTAGGAACCTAAGCCCCCTAAGCCCCGCCCCTCCCCGCTCACATGTGCAAGCGCCTGGCCGCACGCCAAGCCTGGGCCGCTCACCACGCTGCCATCCACCGTGCTGCCCAGCTCAGCTGCAGCTCAACATCAGGAGCCTGCTCGCATGCACAGGCAAACAAGGAAATGACGGCCATTGCATTGATGCTATATGGCATAAAACGAGGGGTGACCCCCCTTAAGCATAACCCCGGGGTTAGGGGTAGGGGTAAGTGGTTACCCATGTGGCTATGTACAAAGGGAGGTGGGTAACCTAACCCCGGGGTAGGGTACCCCGACCCCTTACCGAGGGGTAACGTGTCGGGGTAATACACTAGGTTAGGCACTACTGCGCGCGACCATTGCCCCCGGGAGATCCCGGGATCGAGACCTATCAAGATCGATTTCCCTTCCGACGGTGGAAGGTATTGCGCCCCTAATTGATGGACGGTGGTGTCCTGGGATAAAGTTCGGTGGTAACCTGCGAGCCGACCAGGAATGGAGTTGGGCCGCTAGCGACCCGGCAGATTCCGTTGGATGCTGGTGGTGGGTGCGGGGAACCTGAGCGATCCACTGAGAAGTTGGCTAGGGTGACTGGATGAGGGTGCCCCGAAATACCGGGGAAGGCAGGGTTTCGCAGGGTAGCTGCCACGGGTGAAGATATAACCCCCTGTTTCACACATCACACACCACACAACCAAGGGGTAACAAAGGGGTCGGGGTAATATTGTACCGAGGGGTAACAGACAGGGGGTAACCCCTGTTTACAAGTGCTCCTCGACCGTATGCCGGGCCGTATGCTGGTGTCAATGGATTGTAGGATGTCCCTGTCCCACCTGCCTTCACATGCTATCACAGCTGTCTCATCCGTCTATGTGAGCATGTATGCCTGTCTCGCCTGTCTATGTGTGCACACATATATGTGCATGCCTCTATACACTTCCATTCATGCATATGCCTGTATCGAGCTCACATGTCTACACATACAAACATACATGTTCACCAATCACTTGCGATTGTACAATTGTAAAGATTGCCTCACCAACACAAGCCTTTGCAGGGCTGTAGAGTCCGCCCATGGCCCCAGGCCCTGTGTGTGTATAAACTCGCTAATTACACAAACATTTCTCACCATATCAAGAGAAGGGAAATTGGACCCAGCCCCAGATCCAGGGCTGGATCCAATTCCGTACGATCTGATGTACGGCTCCATACACGTGTCTCACTAAACGAGGTGCTGATGCCAATATTGGATTAATCCGAGGTCTCCCACCATGCAGGGGGACTCTAGAGTCCAGACCTCTTTTGCATGCAAGCAAACCGGAGGGCAAAATTGAAGGTTATGCATAATCACTGTCACATGACAGAAACCGGGTGGATAGCTATAGGTGGTGGCAACACATATATCAGGGTTTTAGTGAGAACACAACTCACTTCACCCACTGCCTATCCTATGCCATATGCCTAATTATCATAACGTCAGGGTTTCTTAAAACTTGACGGGTGGATATAAACAGCTTTTTCCGCCTTGCTGAAAGAGTGCCCGAGTGGCGCGTGTACTGTCAAGGTATAGAGTTTACCTGGCTGTAAATTCAAATGTAGGAAATTGTTTCGTGGCTAGTAAAGTTCCTTAATTGCATCATCTGAATCCTGGCCAGGACCTGCGATAGGATAGGACGCTCTTTCGTCATGGTGGGATCAAGTGCTGGGTTGCTGCCATAGAAGTTCACCGATTGATACAAACGTGAATGTTCTGGCAATCTCAGAGAACAAAAATTATGAACAGATTGCAAGCATACGACCATGTCAAATGTAACGACGCAAGGCCCAACTGAGCATCCCGGGTTACGCCTTTGCTTTGTTACATCAAACATGACTGAAATTTTTACACATATGAGTGGTAATTCATGATCGGTCATATGTCGCATAAGGAACATGAAAACTATCATGACCATGACTATGCCTCATGACCGGTAGCATGACCGGTAGCATGAGGCCTCATGAGTGGTCATGAGGCAACATGACCAGGGCTATGACAGACCCCCCCCATATGACCACATCTGTACCAATTCGTTCCCCGAGTGCACCACACGTGAACCTCTGATGAATACGACATATATACGTACACACACACACGCCACCATGATCACTGGTGGGGTATTGACGGATCTTATTAGTTTCAATTCCTGCGATACCTCACTCAGTAGTTCGCGTGGTGCAGCCTGAAGAAAATAGGGAGCCTTGCTGCCGGATAAGCCCCTGCTTTAAAAACCCCCGCCCCGACCGCTCTCTCTCACTTAGGGCAATCGTTTCGTTGGACTACTAAAATGTCCATGGGCCTCCCCCAAGGCTTTTACGGACACACCCGCACTTGTGTGCGTGCGTGCGTGCGGAACTTGTTACTTGTAACTTGTAACTTAAATACCGACATACCGACGTATCGATATATTTTCAGTCAAGAGTCCTGGAGGATCATATCCTCGAACACGTCGTGCAGCTCGTCCTGTTGCGTCCCCCGACCGCGACTGTCGTCTCGTCGCGTCACATGGCCCGACAAGGCACACCACGTGAATACGGCATACGGCATACCCCAGAAGGGCCCCCACCCCTCCACGGAATCGTGATCCCCCTTTCCATCCCCGCCTCTACCGCGGCGCCCGAGGATAGAGGAGAAAGGCAGGGAGCAGGAAGCCGGAGCTAAGAACTGTCAATGCCCACCTCGCTACGGTCCATCCTCAATGATTCCCCCCTTTCACCATCCCCCCCTTCACCATTCCCCCCTTCACCATTCCCCCCTTCACCATTCCCCCCTTCACCATTTCCCCCCCACACACCATTTCTTTCCCATCTGCCCGTGCCCTCCTGGCAGGGTCACACTTTCCCCCCCAAAAAAAGCTCCGAAACCTTCTTGACCTTGAAAATGATGATGATGATGATGATGATGATGCACAACACAACGCAACACAAATGCGCAAGCCCGCACCCGCAACGCAGTTTAAACCAACTTTAATAAGCATTTTGCGCAATACATAACGGCATGTATATCATTATTAGCACAATATAACAATGTAGGGCATGGCTCAGAAGCCATCTACCCTGTAACACTCCGATTAGCCAGCTAAACAGTGCGACACGCTTTGCAGAACAAAAAAAACACAAAACCGTTCGAAAGCCAAAGCACCACGTCCAGATCCCAATGTCATGATCCCTGGGCATATATCATTATCACCGTCATCGCCGTACAGATGCACAGCTAGGTAGCTGGCTCCAACGGCCGTCCCCTGCGTCCCCTCCACAATGTCGCTCTGCCGCCGCCGCCACTGCCGCCGCCGCCGCCGCCGCCGCCTCACCCATCGTCGGCCGCGCCTCGCGGCGTTGCAGCGCCGCCGCATGGATTGATATCAACTGTACGACATCGTCGCCGCCAAGCAACGCCGTCGTTGCCGCCGCTGCCGCGGCCCTCGCTGCCTTTCTTGCTCGTGCAGCGGAACCTCTTCCGCTACCAACCCAGCTGCCGTCGCCGCCATCGCCACTCCCCCCGCCGCCGCCGCCGTCGCGGGCTCCACGTTCCATTTCGCTACGCCTTGCTGCGCTGGTGGCGGCGCCGCCGCTGCCGCCGCCACCAGCGGGATAGGCACCCCTACGCAACAAAGCCTCTTGACGACCTTCGACACCAGCGCCGCCTTCGCTGTCGTGGTCGCGTGCGGCAGGATCTCCGTCGGCAGTGGCGTCGCCGCCGCCATCGGCGGTAGCTGGGCGGACCGCTAGAATCTCCACAGAATCGTCATTCCGACCGCCCCTTTCTCCTCCGCTTCCTGCCCCTTTTTTCCCATCGCCACTGCTGCCTGATGCTTGGACTGCTGCTGCTTGTGCTTGTTCTTGTGCTTGTGCTGGTGGTGGTGCTTGTGCTGGTGGTGGTGCTGGTGATGGTGGTGGTGATGGTGGTGGTGATGGTGGTGGTGATGGTGGTGGTGATGGTGATGGTGATAGTGATGGTGACAGTGATGGTGATGGTGATGGTGACAGTGATGGTGACAGTGATAGTGATGGCGGTGATGGTGATGGTGATGGCGGTGATGGTGATGGTGGTGGTGGGGGCGGCGGTTTCAGCGCCTGCCGTAACCTCTCAGCTGCCTGCTCACGTGCACATTTTACCATAGACTCCCAGTTCATAAAGCGCCGCCACTCCAGTTGCTGCGCTATGCGAGTGACCCGTGGGTCACTGGCAGCTGTGGCCCATGTGCTGGCAGTGACGGCGGCAGCTGTGATCTGTGGGATGGCGGCAGCGGCAGCGGCAGCGGCATCATTGCCGCCGCCGCCGCCTTGCCGTTGCAGCTTTGCCGACTCTGCGGCTCTGCTATGAAGCTGCCTCCTCAAGAACCTTGACTTTCGTTCGTCACTGCCTCTGACGCTTCGGAGATCTGCTACCGCCGCCGTATTACTGCCGCCGACCCGTGGGTCGGCAGCTTGGGCGCGGCCGCCGCTGCCGCCGCCGCTACCGTCATTAGCGCCCCTCGCGCTGTCGGAGCCAGCGGGCGCCAGCGGGTTCATGCCACCTGCGTCTGTTGCCGCATCGTCGTCGTCGTCGTCGTCGTCGCGGCTGTCGTCATCGCTGTCGTACATGCCGCTTCGGCCGTCGCCATCCACGTCATCATGTCCGGTGCCAGGAACGTCAAAGGCGTCACTTACAAAATGTGACGGCTGCGGTCCAAGGCTTCCGTCGCCGCCACCGACGCCATCGCTGTCGCCGCCGCTACCGTAACCCTCTCCGCCACCGCCATCATCACCCCCATCGCCGCCGACACCGTTGCCGCCGCCATCACTGCGCACGGCGTTGTGATTGTCACTGCTACTGCTACTGCCGTCGTTACCACCGTCGCTGCCCACGTCACCGCCGCCATCCCAGTCACTGTCGTCGGCGCCCACGCCGCTGCCGTCAACCCTGCCGTCGCCGCCGCTGCCGTCGCCGCCGCTGCCGCTCCTGCTATATCCTATGTGCTTTTGTGTAATTCCGTCCGCAGTTTTTCGGCCGCTTCCACCTTGACCTCCCCGTCGCCGATGACCGCCGACTGTCCCGCCGTTGCCGCTGCCGGCGGCGCCGCCGCTTCGACCACCGCCCTCAAACCCCCCTCTTCGTCCGCTTCCGCCGCCGTCGCCGCCGCCGTCGCCACCGTCGCCGCCACCAACGCCGCTTCCGCCACGGCCCTTGCCGCCGTCCGCCCCGCTGGCGCGGGCGCCGTCGTCTGAAGTGGCCGTGGTCGCGGCTCCGGGATCCGGGGTCTCCGTCGCGTCCGGCACCACGCCCCAGTCCAGGAAGGGGGTGGAGATGAGGGTGCCTGGGAACCATACGGCACACCGTGCACGGGGGTTGGTTACTGGTTAAGCATAGGCTGCACGGCATGGTGATGGGGGTACAGGTACAGGGCCGCAATGGAGCACCCCTTGGTACCAGCACGCCTAACGCTGCCTGACGGTGATCGGTGGCGCAAGAGCGAGTACGAGGCGGACAGAAGATACAGTACATCTTACAGTACATTCTTTTGCACGTCATCGAGGCAGTCGTATCACGGTGCTGTACATCTACCGACGTACAATTGTACTACAAGGTACTGTATATCTGCCCACCTACAGCAGTCGTGAAGTCATGCTGAACACTTACCCGCGACGGGCAACCCAGCGGCGTCAGCCCGCTCCAGTGTTGCGAAGGTCTCCGACAAGAGCCGCCGTCGGTAGGCAGCCGCCGGCGACAGCGGCGGCGGCGGTGCCGTACCGTTGCCATCTCCTGGATCTGCTGCGCCCGCGTTGATGATTAGCAGCAGGGGCTTCTGTGCCCTGCGACCGCGGGGGTGTGTGAGAGGCCGCTCAGCAGCAGGAGGCGACGGAGGGGGGGGAGGAGGAGGGGGAGGAGGCGGCGGAGGGGGAGGAGGAGGGGGAGGAGGAGGGGGAGGAGGAGGAGGAGGGGAGGAGGAGGAGGAGGAGGAGGAGGAGGAGGGGCGAGGCGGAATAGGAGGAGGAGGCGGCGGAGGAGGGGGAGGAGGAGGAGGCGGCGGAGGGGGGGAGGAGGAGGGGGAGGAGGAGGAGGAGGGGAGGAGGAGGAGGAGGAGGAGGGGAGGAGGAGGAGGAGGAGGAGGAGGGGAGGGGGACGAGGAGGAGGAGGAGGAGGAGGCGGAGGGGGAGGAAGGGGAGGAAATCAACCGTACCTTATACTACAACTACAAACCTTATTTCCGCACCTCAGGGCGTCTAGAAGGTGAGCGGCTACCCAGCCCGCCGCCCACCGCAATCGACCCACGGGTCCGCTCAGCAACCAATCGTCAGGTGCCACGTGGGCAACCGCCAGATCCATTTGGTGCATCATCTGGGGCGGGGTGGTTAGGGATTGGTTAGGGGTTGGTTGCCGGTTAGTGATCGCGGTGGTGGGCAAGGCAAAAAAGAGGTAAATCGGTTCGGCACGAAAATGCCAAGGGCTAAACTTCCGTGGCCGTAGTGCCTGGTGACACGTCCGCAGTTCCGTACCGTGTTCCGTACAAAATCTACGCCTTCACAGACAGGGTCCCATGGGTCGCCTCCCAGAGCGCTGCCGCTGCCGCCCCACCAGGTCCAGGACCAAGCCGTCGCCGTCGCCGTCGCTGCCGTCACGCCTGTCGTACTGTCTCCGCCGGCAGCGAAGAGCGGCTTGGGGCCCCCGGCCGGCGCCCAGGCATGCGCCGGCGGGTTGTACGGCAGGAGGTACGGCGAGTGACGGCCGAAGAAGCCATCAAGACCGGCGAAGATGAGGTGGTTGGGGTCCATTGTACGAAGGAACTTGGCCATGTACGGCAACCATCCCTGCAGGTAATGGCATTTTTAGTCGTCGTCGTGTAGGTGGCGTTTCTCCCCTCACCCCATCCACATACACAGACACATACACAGCTCCCCACAAGGAGTCCATTATGTTTACTACTCCTAACAACTGTCAACTGTCAACTATCAACTATCAACAGAGGCGGCATGTTATTAACGATCACGGCCCACGGTCGGTGGTATGTGTATCAAGATCCAGGATCCCAAGACGGGAATTTATAAAATCTCGAAATCCTGAGGCTGATTTAGATCCAACAATCCTAGATCCAATCCTAAGATGATCCACGTACGGAAACGCCGCGAGGTCTTCCCCACCTGCAGGTGCTCGCTGCCCATGTTGCCAGGGTCTCGTGGCCTAATTAGGCACCAACCACCAACCATCAACCAAGAGAACGGAAAGGGATTAAGGTCAGGCGATAAATAACGTCTCCTAATTACCACAGATATACATACATACATAAGTACATACATACGAGCGCTGCGTTCTCAAGACAGGAGTGAGTGAATGAGTGGTAGGGAAAGTGTGCGACGGTCCACAGAGCACGTGAAGCGTCGAGGGGCGATAGGCCCCGATGAGACAAGGACGACGGCAAAACTTAGAACTAGAAAGCGACGCAGCATTCGTACTGACAACAAACTACACAGTACCAATTTCATCATACATAAAAAAATGACGAGACAAAAAAGGTATGATATGCGGTGTACGGCATAATGCTGTGTACGGCATCTGGGTGTACGGCACTTGAATTATACGGCCCTCGCACGCACCTATTCGCCAGGTCCCAGGCCAGTATGGTCGGGTCGTGGCGGTGTTGCAACCCCGTGTAGCTGTTGTTGCGCACGGCCAGGGCGGTTAGGTAGTCGAAGAACAGCGCCTTGCGTTCCCGGGAGGGAGGGGGGGAGGGAAAGAGAGGTGTGGGGGAAGTGGCAGGGCAGGGAGAAACCCTAAAGGGGAAAGACGAACCACGAACAAAGAATACTATAAAAACGGTTCGCCCGGGAAAAGGGATTTGGGAACTGTTTCAGTTACGTGTTTCAAAATGAAGCCGTCAAGGGAGGGTTCAACACTTTCTTTGTTGACAGCAGAAACGCGCATCCGCAGGTGATGTCTTAAGGGTCAAGCCAGCCCTGGGTTCGTCCCGTCCGTACATCCATTCCGTACATACGACGGTACAATGTACGACACCCGTACACACCGCCCACCTTGTATGTGTCATTGGAGTAGAAGGCCGTCACAGTGTCGGTCGCATTAATCCACTGAATGTACTGCCACATACCGCCGTACCGATTACTGCTTCCATCCGTAAGTACGGGAATCACGCGCAGGCCGTATCGCCGCGCCGCAGCAACCACCCAGTCGAAACCCTGCCTGCGCGTACATGCCGCGAGTCACCTACCGGTCCACGATCCGTACGGAAATAAAGAAATGCCGTACCATTCATAACCCAACGTCTGCTACAGCTCAAACGGATAGCCAGGAACGAAACCTATTTTTCCAGAAATCACCAAAAAGGCAAAACCTCTGTAAAACTCTATAATACTATATTGTAGTTTTTTGCGTTCCTTTTCAGCACCTCCCGCTCCCCCCTGCCCATATCCCGGCGTTAGCTGTCGTACCTCAGCGCCCAGCTGTCCAGTATTCCCGGAGCCACCTGGACCACAGGCCGGGTAGCCGCCACACCACCACCCCCGCCCCCACCACCTCCACCTCCTGGAGGTCCACTTCGATCGCCATCTCCACCGCCACCGCCGGCCACGGCTCCGGCTCCGAAACCATCCGAGAAGGCGAAGAACCGCACAGTGTTGAGTCCCATTCGGGCGGCTGAGGCCAGCAGATTCCGGGCCTGAGCAGGGGTTGGGAGATTGGGGGGAGTGAGGGGGTTGGGGGGAGTGAGGGGGTGGGAAAGATGAACCACACACGATTGAAGCTGCTGCCAGGGCAAGAGAGTAGCAAACGTAAAAACTGACCGAAAGGCGT